CCGCGCTGCGCGCGGACTGGCCCGACGCGCGCGCCGCGCTGCAGCGGGTCGGCGCGGACGCGGGCGGCGCGCTCGAGCGGCTGGCGGCGCGGGAGGCGGCGCTGGCTGCGCAGCACGCGGGCGCGCTGTCCGAGTTCGCGGCGGCGCGGCGCGCGCTGGCGGAGGCGCAGGAAGAGGCGGCGGCGCGCGCGGACGGGGTCGGGGCGCGGGACTCAGAGCTGCACCGGCTGGGGGCGGCCCTTGAGGAAGCTAAGGGGGCGCTGGAGGAGCGCGGCAGCAGCCTGAGCGACGCATCCCCGCTGGTGCGCATCAAGGCGGCGATCGCGGCGCTGAGGGGGGAGCTCGGCGGCATGGAGGTGCGCATCGGCGTGGTGAGCCACGCGCTGACTCAGCTGAGCCTGAGCGACAAGCAGGCGGCGGCGCGCGACGCGGCGGCGCGGGGCGGGGAGGGCTCGGCGGCTTCGGCGGCGGTGGCGGGGCCGGGGCCGGGGCCGGGCGCGCGAGGCGGGAAGCGGGGGGTGCGGCTGTGATTCAGTAATTGACCCGTCGCTCCGAGCATGCGTTAGGGCCAAGTGGGATGCGATCGGCGAGCGTACAGAGGGTATCAGAGCTGTTATGGGTACCAGCCGCCTGGTGGGAAGCTGGCTGGTCGGGAGGGTCGGGCCGTGCTCAGGCCCGGGTCAGCCCCTGGTGACAAGCAGCTGGATGGACAGACCCGCAAAGGGGGCACTTGAGGGCGCGCCAGTTCCACACATTCCATTGTGCAACCAGTGAAGGGTGCACGAACGCGTCAACTACGGTACTGTATCTACGTGGCGCACCGAGACGATTGTGAGACAACGTTGAACACACCAGATCAAAGCCGTCGATGGCATCTCCTGCCGGGCAGATGACAGCCTCTTTCGTTCAAACAGAGAGCGTATGCCCGCAAATCGGGTTGTTGGCTTCAGGGAGCCATCTGCAGCAGTTCAGCTCTGCAGCCGTCGCTGCTGATCTCCTGTCCAGATCGGCATCATCCCGAGAAACTGCCCGCCAGCAACCCTGCCGCAGCGCTCTGCTGCGGAAGCATTGGTGAGTTTTCCGGCCAGCCCGACGGCGGTGTTGCTTGCGAGCCATGCGGCTACTGCACCCTTCATGCGCGCGGCCGCTGCACACCAATGGCGTCCGTGCGCTAAGCCAGGGTGCGACACCGACGGGTCGCTATTCCCGTGCTTGCCGCCACCCAGTGCGACAACTACGCAAATGCTCCCGACAGCCCGCACGGCGCCGCGCTGCGCGTCCCGCGCCCACCCGTGGCCTAGCAACGCACCGGCCGCCTGCCCTCCACCCAACCCCTCACCGCTTCTTGCTGCCGCGCGTCTCTGCGCAGGCAGCGCCAGCCTCGCGCTCTGCCTGCCGCCTCCCAAGGCCGGCACCCCAAAGCTGCGTCCCCCCAACCCCTGGAGGCCGCCCCAGGTAGGGGAGGCGCGCGTGCCCTCGCGAGCGCGTGGCGCGCCCGGCCGGCCCCATGCACCCCCACCAAAATGCAGCGCAAGGGGCTTCCAGGGGACACAGGTTCCCCCGCTAGCTGGACGAAGCGCTGCAAAATCGCCCCGCCAAGCCCCCTCAACCGCCCGCGCCGCGGCCCGCCAGTCCACGTGTGCGGCGCAGGGGGCCGGCGACATTGCGTTGAGGATGCATCTTTCACATCCGCATTCTCTGTTCGGGCCAGCCCTTGGCACACGCGCGTGAACCCACCCAAACTCACCCACAACACACACGCGCGGGCACACACACGCGTACGCACACGTACGCACACGCGTGTGTATGCACGCTTTTACACACATGGAACGGCATTGAACGGCCCCTGCTTACTCGTACCCCCCTCCCCCTTGTTCTTCAGGGACCTGGACGCGGCCCCAGCTGTCGCCACGCACCATGAAGCGACAACCCGACCACTCAGGTCCCCAGGACCGCCCCTCCAACAGAACCACCGGGCCGCTCCAGCACCCCTGACGCCTGCGTTTCTGGCAAGCCGGCAATGATCATCACGTGACTGCCAAGAAGGTGCGGTGTTGTTGACGTCGGCGCGGCAAAGTCGCTGTTCCAGGCTATAATGCACGCGCCACCAAGGATGTTGGTGTTGCCCTTCGTCAGGTGCCTGCCTGTCTCCGCCCCCCTGCTTGTTCGCCTGTCTGCCTGCCTGCCTGCTGGCCTGTCTGCCTATCTTCCTGCCTGTCTGCCTGCGTGCCTGCGTGCCTGCCTGCCTGCCTGCCTGCTGCCTGCCTGCCTGCTGCCTGCCTGCCTGCCTGCCTGCCTGCTGCCTGCCTGCCTGCCTGCCTGCCTGCCTGCCTGCCTGCCTGCCTGCCTGCCTGCCTGCCTGCCTGCCTGCCTGCCTGCCTGCCTG